AATGAAGGAGGACACTAGAATATTGAATGGAACAAGGTTAGCGATGGTAAAAGTACCTCTTGCTAGCATCTAACAACTCTGATCCACCTGAAAGTCTTAATTTCATGAAAGCAACTTTATTGATCTGTCTCTACTCATAAAGGAGCATCTAAGTAGTACAATAGTTATTAAGGCTGTTTACTGCAAGGGAGATTTTATTTAAAAATGGATTCAATCATACTTTGTTTGTATTTTATCTCTCTGGTTTAAGCTTTACATTTATGCTTTAAGACCATCACCAACATGCAGACCCATTCTTGTCAAATTCCAGCTTCCGGTCAACAAGCTTCTAGGTAGAAGAAACACGAAATGCAGTTTGTTAAGCATATTAAAGCATTTTATTTGCAGTTAGTAGGAGGTATTCGAGGAGAAAGTAGGACTGAAGATACATGAGGGTGGAGAGAGAGGGAAGGGGACAGGGACTTCACTGAAGAACTGCTCTTCCAGGTACCATGGTGGATGGAGACACAATCTACAGGACATGATGGTTGACATATATTTTCAGAGAGCCAATTTGGCACTTCCGCAGGGATCTTGAGAGCTTTGTTATTTCTGAATAAGAAATAGTTGGTCTCCAGTAACACTGAACACTTCTTCAGATCAGCAGTTTTTCTGTGTTTCCTTTGAATCAACAGGAGGGTTCACAGCAGTGGCAGCAGCAGGCTGGGCGGCAGCAGGACTGGCCACAGTAGGAGGGGCGGCAGCACGAGGCCTGGGCATGGTGCAGCTGGCAGCAGGTTGGAGGAGTGCAGCTCACCACACAGCAAGGAGGCACACAGGTGCCCTCCACGCGGCAGTCAGGGCGACACCAGCGGGTGCGGCAGAACATAGCTCCAGAGCCGCCCTCCTGGCCACAGCTGGTTCCACAGCAGCTGGTCTGGGAGCAAGATGGTTGGCAGCAGCTGATCTGGGGGCAGCTGGGCTGGCAGCAGCTGGTCTGGGGGCAGGTTGGTTGGCAGCAGCTGGGCTGGCAGCAGCTGGGCTGGCCACAGCTGGAGCCACAGGTCCCACCGGTGGAGCAGCTGGGGAATCCGCAGAAGCTGGTGGCAAGGCAGGCCATGGTGTCGGGAGTTGAGTTGAGGTATGTACTGTCAGGAGAAGTTTCTGGCTTTTGTCCGCACCTTCCATACCTGGCCTTATATATGTCCCTTGGAGCCTCATGCTTACCTAACATTCAGCCTCTTCCCTTGATGTCAGATGTCTGATTGGTTGATACCGAGTTGTTCAGAAAATTATAAATAGCATCTCCATAACCTGCTTCGGTCATTATTCAATTAAGTCTTACTATGCTTCTTCCTTGCCCTCTGGACCAAGTGAAGGCTCATTGGGAAGTCAAATTGGGCAACACCTCTGGACCAAGCATCACCTTGACTCACTTTGTCATCCATATCCTTTGGTAACCTTGAGGCAGAGTTTATCTAAACTGAGTGTTTTCTTCCTAAGTGGTCGCTCAGCCATGATCATGATTTCATAAACAATTGTCCAGACCTGCAGAGACATTAACAATGTTGTTGTCATCACAACATGAGCTGTCAACTGGTTCATCAACTCTCAGAGTCTACCTTCTGTAATCATGTTGTGCAAACTCGAGGCTCTTTAGACTTGTAGGATTTATCCCTTCAGTCATCCGTGCACAAACTCATATCAGCAACTGAAGCCTTTAAGGTCTTTTGCTAATAATTTGTCTTCTGACTATTGAAGCAATAATGCATGCTGACACTATGAAGACATATAAAAAAATTCTAGCCCCTCTTTCAAGAATATACATACCTTCCAAAACTAATATGCCAGAAATTATATTAATAACTTGGTGATACTCTTTGACACATTTATACCTATTTTTCAAGTATATTATGATAAATACCCATACATATTCTTCATCATTAATGTTTGTGTCTCATATTATAATATATATACATATATAAATTAAAAACTTTTAATTGTGGTAATACATATTACATAAAATTTATGGTACTCATCTCAATCATTTATGTTAGGCAACTTAATTATTTTTGTAATATTTAAGCCACTGTCATTGTAATTCTGGGTAAAAATCTTTTGGCCGTATGCATGAGAATATTTTGAAAAGGCTGTCCATTTTGATTATCTGTATGTCTATGTTAGTATGGCATTATTTTTAATTTTTAAAAAAGATTCATTTATTTTTATTGGAAAGGCAGCTATACAGAGAGAAGGAGATACAGAGAGGAAGATCTTCCATGCACTGGTTCACCCCTCAGATGGCCACAACAGATCTGAAGCCAGGAGCCAGGAGCTCCCTCTGAGTTTCCCACACATGAGTAGAGACCCAAGGCTTTGGGCCATCCTCTACTGCTTTCCCAGACTATAAGCAGGGAGCTGAAAATAAAGCAAACTGGTGCTCATATAGGATTGTGGTGCATGCAAGGTGAGGATTTAACAACTATGCTAGTGCACCAAGCCCAGTATGGAATTATTTTAAGACTATACCTTTATTAAAAAAAAAATTAGGAACTTTGATTTTGTTCTTTTAAAAGATAGCTATGGTTACTTAGGATCCCTTAAGTTTTCATAGGAATTTTTGAAGAAGTTCTATATTTCTGCAAAATACATCAGCAGGTGGTAGATAGAATTGCATTAGGTGTGTAGATTGAGTTAGTAGCATTGATATCCTGACTATCTTTAGCTTTGGAATCCGAGTATTGTTTGCATTATAAAAAAAGTTTTGCAGCGATTTTTCCTTGTAAAGTGTTTGGAAGAACATAAAGGCTTTATGTCTCTTTATATGTTTAATGGACTTCACTAATGAAGTCTCGGATTGCTCTTCTTCGGCAGTTTTGGATTTACAGAGAGAAAGGAATACAGAGAGAAAGATCCTTATTCACTGCTTCACTCCCCAAGCAGCTGCAACCACCATAGGTGAGCTGATTGAAGCCAGGAGCCAGGAGCTTCTTCTGGGTCTCCCACACAGGTGAATGGTCCCAAGGTTTTGGGCTGTCCCCTGTTGCCTTCCTATATTACAAACAGGGAGCTGGAGGGGAAGTGAAACAGCCAGGATGCAAACCAGTGTCCATATGGGATTCCAGTGCATGCAAGGAAAGGATTTAGCCATTAGACTGTTGTTCTGGCAAATAAGTAACTATACAATAATTCAGAGTATGTGCATACCTGAGTTTACCTAGCCCTCTCCCTATTGATAAAACTTCAATCAATATTAGCTTATGGTTTTGAATTTAAAGACAATGTAAATTTTTCAGTTGAAAGGAACTTTAAAATGGATCCAGCTTGGGGTGATGGAAGATGGTCACATGGGTGTGTGGGGAGTTAAATTGATTAAGCTAAATAAGCTTCTCAAACTGGTTCTTCCACTGAGTGATTGTGTGGCCTCAGAAAAGTCACTTAATTCCTCTGAACATTAATGTTTTCATCTGCAAAATGAGATGATCTCTCAGACACCTTCCAGGGATAATTGCTCTGCCAGATCATTTACCCCGTGAGAGCACATTCGGCCCATGATTGGTTCATCCTGCGTAATGTCTTCCACGTAGATGCTTCTTCTTATGTAGATACTCAGCAGATGCCTGCTGAATAAGAAATGTGTGGAAATGATGAAAGGCTTAACTGGCATTTTTTAATGACATCATTTATGATTTTACTTTATCTCTTAGCACAGGATGCTGGGGGTTCGTGATGCTTGGAAGGACTCCTAACTGGAGTCTAAGGGATAAGGGGCTAAAGTTCTGTCACCCAGGGATGCATTCTTGATTGGCTCAACATTTTTGTGCTGCATCAGTAAAGTCAGTTGTTTGCTTATATGCATTCCATTATTCATGCTTTCTAATTTCTCCCTTTTAATTAACCCTTGAGTGAGTAAAGTGTTGGAATTTGATCCAAAATAAGTCTTTATTTTAAAAATTACCTTCATGATACTCCAGTTCTAAATCTGAGAAATCATGAATTAATCCTGACCCTTCTCTGAAAAGCTACCCATATTTATGACACATTATTCTGGTTCAGCATACACAAATGTGTTAGGGCTATGCACCACACCGTGTGTAGATGTGTAACAAGCAGAGGGGTGCATTCAGGTGATTATATAAAGAACCTTTGTCATCCTCACTTCCTGTTGGAAGCTTGGGTAAGAAATTTGGGGAGTTAAAAACCATCTAATTAGAGCATATGTCCTCCGAGACACTTCCCCGTCTTCCATCTCGCTCGGCTTTAGGTTAGCTGGGAGTGGGGAGAGGGTGATTCGTTAAATAAACTCCTTTGGTTTGATGATTTCCTGAAGGACTATTCTTCAAACAGAGGAAAAATATGTCATATTTTGGTTCTGAGTTCAGAGATCCCAGCTTTTCTCTCTGCTTCTACAAGTGCTCCTTGAGATCAAGACATGATAATACAGTCTGTCTGTTTCTGACTTCATTTATTCTCAGAAGAACAATATGCACTGGACTTAATCAAATTTTACAAGGCAACATGGAGTATCAAAAAGAGACTAAAACCTTTTGTGTGACTTTCAAATGAAATGTTGGTCATGAACACACTCAATGAAATAAAGAGGTATATTTGCTTCACCAAAAATTATGATTTATTAGACATTAGCATATTATTTCCCTTTCTTACAAAGTGTGATTTTCAAGAGGATAGAGAAGAAGTGGGGGAAAAGTGGGAAGCACAGGTGTTACTTTTTCAGCCTGGATAGCTTTGAATCTTGCAGAATGAAACCAAGTGGTTTGCTGAGAGTCAAGCCTCCTTTTCCAGGTCAAAATTTATATCTTCAAATCCACAGAGGAGAAGCCCAAATCCTTCCAATATTGAATGGAATCAGATAGTTCTGGTAGGCCCAAATATTTTATAATCACCATAAAAAAAAGCCAAAATAACAAATTTGTTAGTTATCCAAAGGTGGTTGAAAAGATCATCAGTTCATGGACTAAGTTGACAGTTGACATTTCAAGTTGAAAATCAGCAACTAGCTTCTAACAGGCTGGCTGGCTGCATGTGGGCTCACAGGCAGTGGGCTCGGTGCAGCTGGGTTGGCTGCAGGTGGGCTCGGAGGAGGTAGGCTGGGTGCAGCTGGGCTGGCTACAGCTGGACTGGGTACAGCTGGGTTCACAGCAGGCAGGCTGGGTGCAGGTCGTCTGGCTGCAGGTAGGCTGGCAGCAGGTTGTCTGGCTGCAGGTGGGCTGGCAACAGCAGGCTGGGCGGCAGCAGGACTGGCCACAGTAGGAGGGGCGGCAGCACGAGGCCTGGGCATGGTGCAGCTGGCAGCAGGTTGGAGGAGTGCAGCTCACCACACAGCAAGGAGGCAGGCAGGTGCTCTCCACACGGCAGTCAGGGCGACACCAGCGGGTGCGACAGAGCACAGCTCCAGAGCCACCCTTCTGGCCACAGCTGGTTCCACTGCAGCTGGTCTGGGAGCAAGATGGTTGGCAACAGCTGGTTTGGGGGCAGGTTGGCTGGCAGCAGCTCGTCTGGGGGCAGCTGGAGCCACAGGTTCCACCTGTGGAGCAGCTAGGAAACCCACAGAAGCTAGTAGCAAGGCAGGCCATGGTGTCAAGAGTTGGACTGAAAGTTGAGTTGCCTGGAGATTTGAGTTTTGGTGGTGACTGTCATGTGGAGTCTTTTATAAGCACTGGCCAGCTACGACTGACATAATTCCAAAGTCTCTTCCTTGTTTGTGTTTAAATAACTTGCCTTTGAATGATAATTGACCCGTCTCTGAGTTACTTATTTAACCCTTTGAAAACCTTTAAAAGTTCATTTTATTTGGTTTTCAATTAAGTTTCTTTGCCATGATCCAAATAGTCACCTGCGTTCACTGGGAACATAATTCCTAGATCCCTATGTTTGTTAAAATTCTCTCATTGCTCAAAGAACAAGTAATTGATGCCCCTTACCTTTAAGGAGTGTTAACATTACTCAATAATACCTCAAGTCTTGCTGATTTATTTTTACTCAGAAGAATTAGAGAAAGAGGGAGGGAGAGACAGAGAGATTTTCCATTTATTGGCTCACTTCCCAAATGACCCTAACAGCCTGAGCTGAGCCAAATCCAGAAGCAAAACACCTCCTCTGGGTCTTCTATGTGGGTTAAGGGACCCAAAAACTTGGGCTATCCTACACTGCTTTCCCAGGTCACAAGCAGAGAGCTGGAACAGAAGCGAAGCAGCCGGGACACAAAACCGGCGTTCATATGAGAGGTTGGCACTGCACGTGCTAGCTCAGCTTATTACACCATGGCACCAGCTTCCAATATTGATACTTTTAATTGCACTCTTGGGCCTTACAAGGCAGTTTAATTTCCAAAAATACGGCCTCCAAAGTTGATGGCTGTTGTTCTCTGTCTGTCTTATCTAGCACACTAGATTCACTTGTTCAAACAGGGATGCTTTCTTGGGGCCTAGGATGTATGACTGAGTCTTAAGCAAATATTTTGGAACACTTACTATGTGTCCAAGCAGTTCTGAGTATCTTGTGTGTTTGAATTTATATTCCACAGCAATTCCTGGGGTAGTTCACCATTACTGCTCCATCTGAACCACAACCAGATGTGTAAGTAACTTGCTCAAGGTCACACTACTACAGGGTGAGTCTGAATCTACAGATTCTGACTCCAGACTAAACTACTAATTACTACAATTAATCTGTACTTTTCTGATGCAAGCAGAAATTGTAAGGAAAATTAAAAGGTAGATGGAAAATGAGAAAAGTTGCCCTCTTTCTCCCAAACTTTTTCTTGAGACTAAACAGAGAAAAGGCAGATCTTGTAACATCATTTACTAGAGATCTGCCAGGAATTTAATTAATTTGTTTGTTAAGATTTATTTACTCGGAAGGCAAAGAGAGAGATAAAGAGCTAGAGATCTTTCCATCCGTGGGTTCATTCTCTAAGGGCCCATAGCAACCAGGGCCAGGCCAGGCTGACGTCAGGGGCAAGGAACTCCATCTGGGTTGCCCACAGGGGCAGCAGGAACCCAAACACGAGAGCCATAAGCTGCTGTCTCTCAGCATGAGCTCTGTTACGCAGAAATGGGAGCTAAAAAGCCAATGCTGGGATTTCAACCAGAACCCAAGTATTATTCCCCTTGGGGTGGGTATCTGTTAAAGCTTCCATCCTGGTGACCTAGGCTGGACAAATCCAACAACCTCCTTTAACTCGTAACCCTTCATCATATACTAGCAAGAGCTATCTCCTCTTTACTGAAGACCAGCTTAGCTTTTCTGGGTACTCTGAGGCAGAGCCCTCCTTATAACCAAGCACATACATCCCAAGCCTTATCCTAATGGGAGGCAAGAAAGTAGTGTATGAGAAGACTAAAGCTGACCACATCAGAGAGCTTCTGCAAACAGATGTTAGGTCATGCCCTTATGTGGGAGGAAGCAGCACATTATTTACGTAACCAGAGACTATGACCCCCACAGCTGTGCACCCTTGGTCTCCATGCACTCAAGGTGGTGGTACTTTTTCGAATCCTTGTACACTTGTGCGGCTGGAGGCCCTGATCTTTTGATTTTTGTTTTTTTTTAAAGATTGAGGTGAGATTCACGTAACAGCAAACCATTTTAAGGTCTATAATTGTGTGTTCTTTAGTACATTTACCATGTTTTGCAACCATTGTCTCTCCCTGGTCTCACACCTTGATCATGCTCCCTGGAGGAGTACCTGGACTCTTTGAGTAACTGCTTCCCATACTCTTGACCCCTAGTGGCTAACTCCTTCTTTGATTTTAGGACCAAAGCTTTTATCCCATGGAATGGAAGTCCTATGATGTCATCTTTGCTTTATTTCAGACCGCTGACCCTTTGGATTAATATAAAAATGGTGATAGCATATGGCCAACATCATGGTCACTTAAATTTGCCTTTACCGTAAATGTTTATTTTCTGCTTCTCAACATGTGAGAGGATTGCATAGATGTCATTAAAAAAAAAAACAGCTGAGATATCCTCTATGGCTACATTCCAATTGTATTTCAAAAAACAGTAGTATAAAAGGATGATATCAGATAAAACAAGAACAGCCTGTCCCAGCTAAATCAGTTTGGAACTTATGGTGATAGGAATGTCCTCATTGTAGGCCACCTCAGCTTTAGTAGTGCATGCACCTTATACTCCTTCAAGGTAGTGACAAAATGCACAGCATCATTGGATCATTGAATTGTTTTGCACATTTGGAAAAGGGATTATCAGTATGACAACTCTCTGTGACTGGAAGGAACATGGGAAGCAATAAAACTCAGGTCTCTCATTTTCCAGATTAGAAATAGTTGCCCAGGCAAGTAAAGGGACTTTCTCCATAATGATTGGATTGTAAGCTACAAAGCTGGGACTAGCACTCGTTTTAGGCTGCTATTTTATAGTCTCAGATTTATTGCCATTCACATTTTGTTTTATGTTTTTGTGCACCTGGTAATTGAAAGAATTGTATACAGACCCATTTATGAATGAACAAATGAATGAATGAGCAAGCTTGACAACACATCAACAATCTGAATGACATGAAGTTCCCTCTTATAAAATTGGTATTTTGGAACATTTAACCCAGCGTTTTGTACATGTGAGGACCTTGGAAAACATTCTTAAATCCTGTAGTGTCCTTTCACTCAGATAGTTTCCCTGCAGAATATAGGATCATTTTCTGGAAACACGCACACACACACATATCACTTTGAAAGGATATTTTTGAAGAACAAAAACTAAAGAAAATCCAGTGTTAGTTTGAAAACTTCCGGTGCCCCAATAACATTTATAAATAACACAGAAAATAACAAAAGATCTAATAATAACTTCACCATTGAAACATGAAACATTTTATTAAATCCAAGTGCCAATCAGCTGGCAGACTAATTTAGGTGATATTTATATCATTGTAGGGCTTCTGTTGATCTTCCAAGATCTAGGAAAGGTCTTGGTTTTCCACTGCAAATGAATTTCCATCCTAGGGGAGTTATGTAGGTGTGTGACAAGAGTTTTCAAGCTGAATTATGGGTGTGCTGGAGTTCAGAAGTTTGTTGGAACTCCACGTTAGTTTAGGTTTAAGGTACATTTTTCTCAGGAAGAGGTTTTCAACAGGTGGGCTCAGAGCAGGAAGGTTGGCAGCAGTGGCAACAGCAGGCTGGGCGGCAGCAGGACTGGCCACAGTAGGAGGGGCGGCAGCACGAGGCCTGGGCATGGTGCAGCTGGCAGCAGGTTGGAGGAGTGCAGCTCACCACACAGCAGGGAGGCACACAGGTGCCCTCCACGCGGCAGTCAGGGCGACACCAGCGGGTGCGGCAGAACATAGCTCCAGAGCCGCCCTCCTGGCCACAGCTGGTTCCACAGCAGCTGGTCTGGGAGCAGGTTGGTTGGCAGCAGCTGATCTGGGGGCAGCTGGGCTGGCAGCAGCTGGTCTGGGGGCAGGATGGTTGGCAGCAGCTGGGCTGGCAGCAGCTGGGCTGGCCGCAGCTGGAGCCACAGGTCCCACCGGTGGAGCAGCTGGGGAATCCGCAGAAGCTGGTGGCAAGGCAGGCCATGGTGTCAGGAGTTGAGTTGGGTTGAGGCTTGGATTGCTTTGAGAAGTTTCTGAGTTGTGGCTGCTTGTCCTACCTTGGGCCTTTTATAAGCCTAGGCCAGCTCCTCTGCTGTGACAAGCAGCATTTTTATTTTATTACTCTCTAAAGTAGCATTTCTGGGGCCCTCAGGTTGTTAGCATGCTGAGTTACCTTAAATGTATCTTTAAATTGGTTTTTCCTTATTGCTCAGCTGTACTCACCAGATGTGCTTGTTCTTGACAGAAATGCTAATGTTTTGTTTCCAAACAGTGCCATAATTTCCACCCAAGCCTCATTTTCAGCTTGGGTTGGTGATTACATCATCTGACAAGAAGACTCTCACCTGAACGATGCAATTTAACCTCCATCATAGAGGAGGGTTTTATAGGGTTTTGTAGATGGTGGGTTTTGTCAAGTCGATAAGAATATAGTCTTTATAAAAATTCATAGACCACCCCAGGAATCAAGTTTCTCCAATTTCTGTGATTTCTCTTGAAGTTTAGACATTTGTGCTTGAGAGAAAGTGTTTATCATCTAGTAAAATACATAGAGCAGAACCCTTGTCCTTCCAAGAAATTTAAATTAGGAACTAAATGTACTATCCAATAATTGTGAAAAAAAAACCTTTAAGTGAAATTTTCATTTCTATATGAAAATAAAATCACTGTCATCTGAATTATCTGGAGAGTGTTTCTTGAAGGTAGTAATTCTTTTTCTGCATATATTATTTTCTGCTTCTACACCATATATCCTAGGAAAGGATGTTCGAACAAAGAGCAAGACAATTGAATTGATGAAGAGAATCCGAGAAAAGAAAGACTTCACCATTGAAGCGTGAAACATTTTATTAAATCCAAGTGTCAAGCAGCTGGCAGACTAATTTAGGTGATATTTATATCATTGTAGGGATTCTATTGAGACCAAGATCTAGGAAAGTTCTTGGTTTTCCACTGCAAATAAATTTCCATCCTAGGGGAGTTATGTAGGCTTGTGACAAGAGTTTTCAAGAATCCAAGAATAGAAAAGAAAGACTGTAGAGAGGTGAAAATACATTTCAGAAACTAAAAATTGAAACACTTCCTGGTGCCTTTCTCCCCCTAAGCTTAGGGAACGACGAGCAGATGCAAAGTCAGGCACATGTATCTTTGCTCCTTGTGGTAGGTTTATTTGTTCCTTCCACCCAGAAAAAGTTAGCTTTTTGCAGAGGTAGGGATATGAATTTTTACAGTGATAGATTTTTATATAAATGTGATTTATAACAGTTTCAGTCAAGATTTTATGCCACGTGGGAATCATGACTGTATGTGTGAAGCTGAAAAAGAGTCTTAGGTAATCAGTGAATATTTAAGATCAAAAAGTAGTTCATTGTCTTGTTTAACTGTTTGACTTGGTAAGTGTGGAAAGAGACATCATCCTTATTACCACGTGTTTATCGCTCAGGAAGTGCTAAGGTGTCACACATAAAGCAAGGTCCAATATATTTATCTTGGGTTTTGTTCTCATGTACAAATTGATGTTGTACCAGTACAAGGATTAATCAAGGAAGTGTTGAAAACAGAATCATGTGGCCTCCAAATTAGAAATTGGAAAGCTCCTGTTGTATGGATTACTTTAATCCAGAATCGGTTAATATCAGAAATGCCTGAGTTCGGGAAGGACTCCATCGTGAGAAGGTTTTTGGTGAGGTAAAGTGATTTGTTATGTTCACACAGTACCTAGCTAGAAGAACAGGCAGAAAGCACATATTCCTTAGTTTTAGACTTGCTCTTTTTATTTTATGCCAATGTGCCTTCTAGAATTAGTTAACATTGCTAAAACTGTGTGTCCTTGCTTTTCAAGATATTTTGTTTTGGGCCTGGCATAGGGGCCTAGTGGCAAAGTCCTTGCCTTACGCACACCAGGATCCCTTATGGGTGCCAGTTCGTGTTCCGGCTACCTGCTTGTGGCCTGGGAAAGCAGTTAAGGACGGCCCAAAGCCTTGGGACCCTGCACCCACATGAGAGACTTGGAAGATGCTCCAGGCTTCTGGCTTGAGATTGGCTCAGTTCCGGCCATGGTGGCCACTTGGGGAATGAATCCACAGATGGAAGATCTTCCCCTCTGTCTCTCTTCCTCTCTGTATATCTGACTTTCCAATAAAAATAAAATTTAAAAAGATATTTTGTTTTTATTATATATTTATATTTGCTGATATGTAGAGAACATATATCATGAGTTTCATAGGGATGAGCGTAAGAATGCCATACTTTGCTCTTCCCTCCCTCTTCCCCTTCTGGTTTTAAAGAATCGTTTGTGATGATATGCTTTCAGTTTACCATCACAGGCTCAATGCTCCTCTAAACAAAGAGCAGTAGAGGAATAAAGACACGTCACTGTTACGCAGAGGTGCGGGCAACGATCAAATCATAAGATAGCAGTTCAACTCAATACACGCTGAGGGTTTTTGTGTGTACTGTGTGTATTAGAGCTCAAGAATAGAAATGTTAGGCAGTATGGGAAATATACTGTGTAATGCTGATTTTCAATATACAGTGCATTTTCATTAGTATGTTAAAATTCTTCAAAATGTGTTTGGACTAGAAAAGTTTTCTCCAGAAGCGAAATAAGTTCTATTTACTTCATAATTGTTTCTTGACCCGCTCATTCAACTTAGCTGTATACTTTCTGAGTTTCTATATCTACCGTGGACAACATGTGTTCTTTGTTCCATGGTTATCAACTTCAGCTTTCATTGTACATCACGTGGAACAGGCTCATTGCCTCCCAGTGTGTTTTTCATAGAGATGTTCCTCCTGCAGTTTTTAGTCTTCTTTCTTTATAAGCAACTGCTGTAGGAACCACCCAATGTCAAACTTTTATCATGCTACTCCCTGCCCCCAGACTTTCAAGTGCTCCTTACTGCTTATTGCATTAACAGCATACTTCTTTGGTGAATATTTGAAGCACATACTATTTCCCTATTACTGTTCTGCTATCACTCTACGTGCTTTCATTGCTCTGGACAGCTCTTTTCATCCCCTCCCTCCATATTTTGGCTGGTACCATTTCCGTCTCTAAGAATGCTGCCTTGTCTGTGTTGTAGGCACCCAAACCCAACTTTTTTTTAAATTTATTGTTCTTCCCTGTCAACAGAAACATCTCTGTTGGCCATATAACATGTTCTACTTTATATTTTTCAGATACCACTTTTTGGTGAATTTGACTTCTTTCTACCTGTATCTTAAATCGGGGAATATTTTTTATTTAGTTTAAATTTTTGTTGTGTAACAGGCAATCTGTGTTTTGCAAGTAGCAAGATATCAGTACATTGTTGTTGTATTTAATAATAATATAAAAAAGTAGAATAATAAATCCAAAGCTGTATGTGCAAGGCCAAAGTTTATTAGAAAATAATCAAATTACAAGACATCAGATCTAAGTGGATGTAAGAACTCTAACTTCTGTTACAAAGACTTGAGAATAGCATAAGCTACTATTCAGCTGAAACTGGATTTCCATTTGCAGACTGGTGGATCTGGGGTCTCCAGGGTTCAGGGCAGGTGGTTTATTAGGTAGAGAAATGGGAGTATGACCGTTTCAGAAAACTGATGGCTTGTTCCAAGCAGTGAGGCATCCAGTTCAGCAGCAGCAAGGGTCGCAGGGGGAGGTCCTGCAGACCATGCGGCAGGGGGCAGGCTGGCAGCAGGGGGGCCTGCAGCAAGGGGCCTGCACAGAGACCAGCTGGCAGCCAGTGGAGGTCCAGCAGCAGGGCCTGCACACCACGGCCGTGCAGGACGATGGGCAGCAGGTGATGGGGCGGCAGCAGCCCTGCTGCAGGCCACAGGGGTCACAGCAGATGGGGCGGCGGCAGGGCTCACAGATGGGGCGTGTGCAGCGGGGCACACAGCTGACTGGGCGGCACACTGTGGTCTGGCAGGACACTGGGCGGCAGCAGCAGGGGTCGCGGCAGCAGCAGGGCTGCAGGCAGCCTCCTCCGCAGCTGTAGGAGGAGAAGGATCCACAGCAGGAGCCGGTCATGGTGGTGTGTGGGGTTGACTGTGAGGTGGGCAGTGGAGAGGAGCTGTGTGTTGTAGGTTGTGACTGTCTTCCTCTTGTTCTGGACCCTTTATATACCCTGGCCAGGCCCTAATGACCTTTCTTGTTTATCTTTTGGTCAATTAAGTAGGATTTGGTTTTGACTAATGATTGCATGTGACTAATGGGTGCACATGATCTCATTAAGCTCTTGCTGCATTTGTTGATATGGATGGAGTTACATTGTTCTTCATGAAAACTGAAAAATTCATAGCTAGTTGAATGGCACTAGTTCTCATTGTTTGAGTAGGTAGCATCCAGGTAAGCCTGGACAGAATAATCCAAAAGGAACCTCAACTTGAAAACTAAATTAAGCACAGAGGAGTATGTTGAGCCCTGACTAGATTCTTGGTCCACCTATGAATCAGACAGATTTTAAATGTGTCCTTCCATGTGGATTTCATGGGAATACACTTGCTTATTACATAGTATAGTATCTAATTCTTGACTAGTACAGCAGCTCAAATACTTCTACAGAACAATTGTTGATTTTTTTAAATCTGGCAACTGCTGGGATGAAAAATCCAAGGCTGCTATGCCGCTACCTTTTCTTCTCCAGCTGAAGTCGTGTATAGCTCTAGTCCCTCTGCCCTCACAATGCTGCCTTTGTGTCTGTGAAAAATGACATTTACAATACTTGGCCTGTCTTGTGCTTGCAATAAATAGTCATTTTATGGAACTTATTTTCTTCTTACTGCACTTTGATATGAATGCTGTGACTATCGAGTGACAAGATGGAAGTTCTTCGGCTGCCATTGCAGACATAGGCAGGATCCTGTTGAATAGAAGCACATTGGCTGCTCTGCTGTGGTACCTGCTACAGGTGTTGGGCATATTTCTTCGGGAAATATTGCCAGTGTTGGGCTAGAAGCTGCACTAGGGAACCCATTTCACTGCTTTCCACTTTC